TATTGAGATGACCAGACAGCTGACAAGACTAGAGATTCTAGAACAGGTTTGTTGATAACTAGTTAGTTAGGGTCAGACACACCATGGTTATTGAGATGACCAGACAGCTAACAAGACTAGAGATTCTAGAACAGGTTTGTTGATAACTAGTTAGTTAGGGCTAGACACACCATGGTTATTGAGATAAAAAGGCAGCTAACAAGACTAGAGATTCTAAAACAGGTTTCTTGATAACTAGACAGTTATGGTAGTGTTTCACGAGACGGTTTTTCGCACAACATTGTCGCGTTAAAAGTTGGCTTAATGTAACATGACGCGCGCGGTAACACAAATCGATGGTAACAATGTTGTGAGCTCCTGAAGGTCGTTCTAAAACCTGCAACATGTTACCGCAACAAAATATCTTTAAAATTGTAACTGCGCGCAATGTTACACGAGAACGACTTTTAACGCGACGACGTTGCGCGAAAAATCGCCGTTGCAAATCGTCTCGTGTAACACCACCTTTATTGCTAGACATACCATTTTTATAAAGAATCTTAGTATTCCTTATCACCAGGACAAGTCTAAACTCGGCGCACAAATTCGCGCACAAGAATCAGTAATCGAGGGACTGAGAACAGAGCGGAAATTGTGGAGTCAAGAACTAGCCCAGCAAGGTAATAAAACATGGATTTGTTGTTGTGTACATCAATAGACCTTTATGGACTTTCAAATTACCGTTGTGTTCCTTGATCACAGACTCATGTACTCAGTCTAACTATTCACAATAATTACCAATGATGAAGTAAAGAATGTACAACTTCAACAATACAGACACTTGGAAATTCCACGGACCTTCACTGGAACACGTCAATATTGTGCACAAAATCTAGGCTAAGAAGCCTGTACAACAGAGTACTTGAAACTAGTATACAGCTTTTCATTGAATGCTGAATACTGCATACTGAATAGTGGATTTCAAGACCAAAGGGCATTGTGGGACATGTGACATTGTCTAAAGTAGGATTAAGGATAATAATTTATTCTATTTTTAGTGTATTCCATTTGAAACAATATACTAACTACATGTAGAGAGTTAATTGCTGTATATTTACTTTTTATTTCAAATTAACGAGACCCACAATGCCCTTTGGTCTTGGAATGCACTATACTGTATTCAGTATTCAACCTTTTTGGAAATAGCTGTATTCAAGATGTTTTGGTTTATCAGATGTTTTTCTGGTTACAGGAGCGTCTCTTGCTCAGGATAGAGGGAGACTTGAGTCCCGGATTGAAGCATTGAGTGCAGAGTTAAGTCAGATGAAAAAACAGAGTCAGGTAACCCTACTCCTCATCATCATCTCACTATCATTATAAATAGATATTATTATCGCTGTCATCATCTATGGCATCAGAAATTTAGAAAATCAAGGTCCCTTTTCTATAGTCTGTACTTTTATCGAACAAGCATGAAATGGCGTCAGCAAATGATTAAAACTCAGGTCTGCGCTCATGGCTCCACTTGAGTTTGGATCAAATGCTGACACCATTCCATGTTCGATAAGAGTACAGACAATAGAAGGGACCTCAATTCGCTTAATTGAATACTTCATATACTTCCAAGATTATTTGGTGATTTTACTAACTTGTTTTTATTTTTCCTCTTTTTTTTTAGAGTGATAATGACACTATTCGCATCAAATCAAAGATGATCGAAGACCAAACTGATTCCATAAGAAAACTAAAACAAGTAAGATGGTGGCTTTTATAAGTTTGTTTTCACAAAATTAAAACCATCCTTGTCAAAGTCCATCAATCACAAACCCTTCCATTCTTTAAACCATAAACATACATTCAATTCCCTGTTATACATATGAACTACACCTGGTAAACCCTCTCTTAAACCATTACACCACCCATCCACATAACTCCCACCACGCTTCACCCCATCATTCTCGCTACGCCATGTACCACACCACACCAATCCAATCATACACCCTTTGACCTTAATGAACACCACCACACCTCACCCCATCATTCCCCTACACCATGTACTACACCACACTACCAATCCATCATACACCCTTTGACCTTAATGAACACCACCACACCTCACCCCATCATTCCGCTACACCATGTACTACACCACACTACCAAACCCATCATATACCCTTTGACCTTAATGAACACCACCACACCTCACCCCATCATTCCCCTACACCATGTACCACACCACACTACCAATCCCATCATACACCCTTTGACCTTAATGAACACCACCACACCTCACCCCATCATTTCCCTACACCATTTACTACACTACACTACACTACCAATCCATCATACACCCTTTGACCTTAATGAACACCACCACACCTCA